TTGTAAAGTAGCTCAAGGACTTAAAGGAAAAGAATGTCACAATAAATAGAGTGAGCTCTGTATAGGAATGGAAACTGTAAAGGGCAACCAAATGAAATTCTAAAACTAAAAGCTATTATATCTAAATTCACTGAATGAACCTAACAGCATATAGGAAATGGTAAAAGAAAGGATCAGCGAGCTTGAAAAGATCATCAGAAATTATTCAATCTAAAAGCAGAATGAAAAAATTAAGATGCAGCATCAGCAGAAATGGTAAAGTAAGGACTTCTCAAAACCTTCCTCCATAACGGCAATGAGAGCATTGGCAAAAAATAAAAAAGAAATGAAAGCCATTTGTCATAGCTCTGAAAATTAACCAAAGATTTTCAGCAATCTAAGGTGCATTTATTCAAGAAAAAGAAGTGCTGACTCTTGGTAAGAACATTAAGCTTTGCAACAGGTTAACTTATTCTCATGTGCCCCCTTCAGCTCTTGAAAACCAACAGCTTGTAGCCTTGGTTGCAAACCAGCAGCCTGGCAGCCAGTAAGAGAAGAAGAATAGGGTTGGGGATCCCTTCAAAACCCTGTCATAAAGAAATGCTATCATCTGACCCTGCCAGTGATGCTTGGAAAAATTGCATTTTCAAGACTGCATTCAGCCAGTGAAGTTAGCCATTTCTCAGGAGTGTTTTCAAAACTAATCAGAAATAGTTGTTTAACATTATAGCTACTGGGAGCTGGAGAGATGACTCCACAGTCAAGAGCGCTTGTGGCTCTTGCGGAGGACCAGGATTCTGTTCCCAGCACCTACATTAGGTGGCTCATAACTGCCTATAACTCCAGTTCCAGGGGATATGACACCCTCTTCCTGTGTCTATGGGCACTTGTGTACACATAGTATATATACATACACTCAGGCACACACACATACACATAAAATAAATATATTTTTAAAAGTAAAGAAACATTACAGCTGCCTAGGACAGTAAATAATAATGGGCACAAACAGTTAATTGGCTAACTAAAAATCTTGCAAGAAAAAGACAGGATTAGATGTCCATAAGGGATTTTGAAATGACAAGTATTCCTAGATGTTTAGATGGCAGCTAACATGTGTAGGCCTGTCTACCTTTCCAAAGTTGTGCACATGCTCTGAAATGATCCAGGAATGCCCTAAGATCTCATTTCTGACTACCTTGAGGTTCTTTTATGCAGCAGGTATGAATTGCCATTGAGCTAAGAATTGAGATGTGCCCTAGTATGCACAACAGAAACGCTTCACATGTACTGGAAAATTTCTTAATTCCTGGCACTTACAGAAAGCCCTGTCTGTTCAGTAACTGACCATGAATCAAATCAATCAGAGACTTCAATAGTCGCACATGACAACGAATATAAATTTTACAAATGGGAGAAAACTGGGTTCAGAAAAAAACATGTATTTGTCGACATTGATTTTCTACAAGAGTGTTAGAACGATTCAATAGAGAAAGACTTTTTTTTTTTTTTTTTTTCCAAAAAAGTGGTCTGGGACAAACAGATTGATTCTGCAAGAAAATGAAATTGAGTTTTCACCTACTGACATATAAAACATCCTAAAGTGGATAAAAGTACTAAATGTGAGAGTTAAATTAATAAATTGGTATTTGTAGGATACTGTCACCTACAACTGCAGGAGTACACACAGAGTACTTACCAAAACAGGCCAATTATTGGGTGAAAAGAAGTCTTAAAACAAAATTAACACACTACAGACTATACTCTCCAACTATAACAAATTGTTTTAGAAATTAAAAGCACAAAGATTTAAGAAAGAACAAAAATCCTCACACATTTAGAATTTAAGCAATATACTTTTAAATGGTCTCTGTGTCAAAAGAAATCATAAAATCATGAAAAAATTTAAACTAAATGGAAGATGATGCAATATATCAAAATTGTGGGATGCAGTTAAAGCAGTGCTTTGAGGTAAATTAATAGCTTTAAATATTTTAAAGACAGGTACTGGGCATGGTGATGCATACCTTTAATCCTAACACTCAGGAGGCAGAAGCAGGTGAATCTGTGAGTTCAAAGCCAGTGTGTCTTACATAGTAAGTTCTAGAACAACCAGAAATATATGATGAGACCCTGTCTCAAAAGAAAAAAAGAAAAGAAAGGTTTAAAACTCATGATTTGTGCTTTTACTTTCAAGAGTTAGATGAAGAAAAAACTAACAAAATAGATCTTTAAAAGGAAATCAATATAAGAGCACTAGTTAATGAAACAGAAAATAAACCACAGAGATAATTAACAAAATCAAACATTTGACTAATATATTAATAGACTAGATTAATAAAATGAAGAAATTGCTACCAAGACTGATAAAACAAGGGAAAATATGAATCATTGACCTCAGGGACTTAAAAGCACATATCATTATATGCCACATGGCTAGTAAGGAATAATATCAGCAATTTGAAAAATCCAAGAAAGAAGCCAGACATGGTGGTGCACGCTTTTAGTAACTGGCACTTGGAGGCAGAGGCAGGGAGATATCTATGAGAATGAGGCCAGCTTGGTCTACACAGGGAGTTCCAGGCCAGCTGGGACTACAGGGAGATCCTATCTCAAAATACTAAGCTAAACTCACTAAAATAAAATAAAATTGCACATCTATAAAAATTATAAGAAATGGACAAGAGTCCAGGTATCAAAGTGGGTAGAAGATGTAGAAAGTATAAGCAGATGGTTTTGAAAGAATCTGAATCTTTCATACCACCTTATATACACATGCATCTTAGAGAGAGAGAGAGAGAGAGAGAGAGAGAGAGAGAGAGATTTAATGAAAACTCCTTGTCAAGATAATTTACTTGTGAATTGTCAAACATTTAGCAATATGATAAAACACACCTGATCACCAAATCTCAAAAAGTTATTACAAGGAAAAAATTACAAACCTTCATGATCCTTCATGATCATAGTTGTGAGAGCCCATAGCAAAAGTCAAATAGAGCAATATGTGGAAAGAACAATATAGTATATCCAAGTTTGATTTATCCCAGGAATATAAGCTTGATTACATATAATAAAAATTCATTTTCAATATATTTTATCAGAATATATGATTAAAAGCATATGATCATCTGAGTAAAATGTTGAAATTCAGTTAACACACTTGACAAAATCCTCAGTAAAACAGGAGTGAGATGGAAGTATCTTAATCAGATACAGGACATCTGTGAACTATTTGTAGTTAGTAAAACCTGCATTGCCAAATGTAGCCAACAAAAATCATATCTTATTTAGCATTTTTGTTTAACACTGGACTGCGATTCCGTCCTGTTCAATAAAGCTAGAAAAAAAGGTAGTTAGGTTAGAAAGAAAATATTAGGCCTGTGTTATTTTTATTTATAGGTGAGTGATTGTACAAGAATTTCCTAAGAAATCTACAAAACAAGCAAAGTTGGTGAGGGCGTGGTCAAAACTTTAGAATCAGTTTGGAGTTTATATCCCAGCAGCAAGCAATAAATAATTAATGAGACAGACATAATCTTATATATGATAATAAAAAATGATATTAATTACTTAAGAGTATATTTAGCCAAGAGCACGTCTGGCCACTACAGTGGAAACAATAAAATACTCCTCTGAGGAATTATTGAGAAATGGAAAGATATATTCATGAACTGGAAAAACCAGTATTATTAGGATGACAATTCCTTCCAAATTATGTACAGATTCATTGAGACCTTAATAAAAATCTTAATAGGCTTATATGTGTGTGAAAACTGTCTAATTCTAAACATAAATGGAAATACAAAGGATCTAGAAGAGTCTTCAAAAACGTTGAAAGAGAAAAAAATGAGAAAACATATACCACATGTGATTTAAAATGCTACTTGCAAAATTCAATTAAGACAACAGCAAAGGTCAGATAACTAGAATATTTGGGCATTTTTGTAAGTAGTGTGATGATGTTCAGATTCATATAAAGACCAACAGAGGCAGAAGAAAGGTGGTACTCTGCGAATCATGCATTTGACTTACAGGAAAAAATAAAGTATTATACATAATGACTTTATTCATGTAAAAAGCTGTTTGGTGTAAGGATTAGGAGCAAAGCTTTATAACTAAATCTGGTTCGTAGCCTGTTCTGACACTAATTATAGGGTTTTATTAAGCAAATGGATTTATCTCTTTTGTCATTGTTTTTATGTAAGACGATGAAGACTCTAAGAACTAAGTCTATCACTGTGTGCCATTTCCTTAGAATGCTTGATACGTAGGAAGCATTCACATACTATTTACTGTTCTTATTTATGTACTTTTTAATTCTTATTTATTTGTCTTTATTTTCTCTTCCAATTCCTTATTGCTTAGTTACAAAGACCTGGCAGGCATATAAAGCAGTGCAATTCTTCTTACACTGATGTTTTTATTCACATGCGTCTATGTTTTAATCTTTCAAAAACCAACTTAGCTCTCTTACCTTGCTAACGCCTGCTTGCTTTATGTTTTGCCTTGACAGGATCAAACCCAGAGAGCTTGTGTATGCTAGGCAATCACTCTACTACTGAGCTAAGATCCTGCTCCCTTACTTTGTATCTTAGGCAGTCCTTGAACGCTCCTCCTGCCTCTGCCTTAGAAGTAGCTGGGACCTAAGGGCCTATAACCTGCTTAGTTTGCAATCCCATTCAGGCTACCCGTCCCAGGACTCTGGCTGCTAAGGTAAACAGACTTTTACTTAGTTCTAGGAGCATCCTCAGTTGTTCCCTTTCTGAATATACAGATCAGGTCACCTAATGGCTTTCTCTACTGTTTTTTGTTTTTTGTTTTTTTTTTGTATGTAGTAGCTTTATGAGCAGTCCAACGCCTTGAAGTGTGTGTGTTTACATCTATCTAATACAAGACAGTAATTAATCAGTTCATCCTTTAGTATATACACGAAGCAAAAAGCTTTCCTGTTATGTATTTCTATATGATAGTGATATATTTAATACCCATTTATCTGTTTTTCTGTTGACTTTGATTTACAGATTATTCTTCTTGGAATTATCCTGCTTCCCATTCGTGCTTTATTGGTTGCATTAATTTTGTTACTGGCATGGCCATTTGCTACCATTTCAACAGCATGCTGCCCTGAAAAACTCACCCATCCAGTAACTGGTTGGAGGAGGTAAGAAATAATTATGCTCAAATATTACACAGATCAAGACTTCATATGGTTTGATTACATTTTAGTCAGTGACCAGTAATTATACCTCATTGCTACCCAGTTTTAATAGTTTATGTTTGCTCTTTGGATGAAAATGACCTGTGATTTATGGAGAAATTACTGCAAAGCAGTATTCTGTTCTAGTTGTAATTTCTTAATGTTAAAACATTTTATTTTCTGAATTGTTACAAAAATATATACCTTCGGTTCTGATAGTCCCTGTGTTATGGTTTAATATGAAATGTTTCCCATAGCCTCCCTTAGATGCTTGGTTGTCAGCTGATGGGCTTTTGAGAGGTGCTTAGATCCTGAAGGCTGTGACTGAATCCTTGATGAATTCATAATATAATAGTACTATTGGAAGGTGGTGAACATCAGGAGGGCCTAGCCGAGTTGGAGTAATCAGGTCACTAGTTGTGTGTGTGTGTGTGTGTGTGTGTGTGTGTGTGTAGATCTTACCTGACCCTGTCCTGTGTCTCCCTTTCTGTGCTTCCTGTGTACCATGAGGTGACTAGGCACATGCTCTCATTTCTTTGATCTCTGCCTCACTTAGTCCCAGAACAGAACTGATCCTGATGGACAGAAACCTCTGAAGCCATGAGCTAAAATCCCCCCTTTAAGTTGCTTGTATCAGGGATTGTGACATGCTACTGCAGAGTCTGACTCACACACTTGGTTATTATTCCTGGAACCATCGTAACTACAAAATAACTGGCTTTCTTTTGCTTTCCCTCAATTTACACACTTGTTTCTGTTCCTCTAAGATAACAATACGCTTTCTGCAGTACTAAGATCAATTATTTTATTTTTTATTAATTATGTTAGTGGTTATTATTAAAAAATTAACTATTACTCAACTTAGCCTGGCATTTTCAAAAGTTAGTACTGAGACTTTTCCAAAAAATTATTCAATTAGGATGGGGCTAGAGAACAGACTGATCAAGAATAAACAAAAACTACTAGTAAAAGTTATTACTGTTGAACAGAATCAAATTTTGCCATCTGTACATATTGAATGTATGTCTCCTTAATGTGTATACCATGGATTCTACATAGATTGAAGATCCATAGATTTGTTTTAGGACATTGATAAACTTTCCGAAATTGTGCACGATGTGTTTTTGTTTGTTTGCTTACCCTTTTCATATGCAAGGATAATTTGTTTGTTTTTAAATCCAAATCTCAAATAGGTCCTCCAAGATTTTTGAGAACTACTCTTCTAGAAACTTTAATAGAAGTATGCAATTTTCTGTTCAGTTCCTAGTTCTGTGAACAAATGTCAGTATTAAAAACAAAGCTGATTTGAGGTAAAATTGGATCCTGCACTGGCAGTGCCCCAGAGAAAATTCAGTCCTTGCAAATCACACTTCTGCTTTATAACTTAAGATTGTACAGTATAAAAGAATACTTAGTGGGCTGCTTTTCATGAACTACAATTTCTTTCAGATTATTTCTTTGGTTTTATAGTGGCTTACAAAAATCTAGGATGATGAGAGGAATAGCTAAAGAATATAGAAAATAAATATATATTCAAAATTTTCATTTACACACACACACACGCACACACACACATTGATAGCATGTGTAAATTGCAGAAGAGCCACAAGCCTCATTAGGGAAAGACATAAATCCTTTAAAGTTGGTAACTGGCCCTAAATTGGCAGCCTGGCCTTGCTCAAGCCTTATCAACTGATCACTCCCTGGACTGAGACTGTTTATGGAGCCCACCTGTCTCCTTTAGTGCTATAGATAACTCACCCTCCTGCCTGAGAAAATAACCTTGGAGAAAGAGACCTCAAGGAACCAGACCCTGGGAGTTAACTCTTGCAGCTGTGTGCAGCAGAGTTCCTATGTAAGTCCAGACTACTCCCCCTTTCCATACAGATACCCTCATTCCACGGAAGGGCATTTCAGCCTTTGCTGTGTTCCTTGAACAGAGGAATGCCTTCCTTGCTTGTGGTAGGTCTGGATCTGACTCTTATTTCTAAAATTTAAACTCCTTCCTTTTTCTGCTCCCCTAAATCTCTCTCTCTCACACACACACACACACACACACACACACACACACGCACACGCACATGCACACGCACTCACGCCTGCCCGCACAGACACACACACATGTAAATATATATAAATCTAACACACATATAACATATATATATCTAACCTATATATACGTATATATGTGGTCTTTTTGGGTCAGGGCCTTCCTGTAGCTCAGCCGACCTATTCTCCCTATGTAGACCAGGCTGGCCTCCATCTCACAGAGTTCTGCCTGCTTCTGCCACCTGAGTGCTGGGATTAAAGGCGTGCGGCACTCATATCTGGCTTCAATTTTTTTTATTCCTTTTGTTTTAGACGAATTTTGTTTTTGTCAGTTAAGCCAGTATGTCTGTTTCCTCTCACGTAAGTGATTTTGAAGCTGTGTGGTGCCAGACTCAACCATTAAAATTTTTTAAAATTTAGTGTATGTGTTTGTGTGTATGTGTATGTGTGTGTGCGCACAAGTGCAACAGCATGTGTGGATGTCAGAGGCTTGATTCTCTCCTTCCCCCGCATGCTTTGAGGCAGAGGCTGCCTTGTTTCCACCACTGCTCAGTGTATTCCATGCTAGGTGGCCTCCGAGCTTCCTGCTCTGTGATCCTGTATGAATGTGGGGCTCACATTTAAATTGAAGGTGGAGGCACACATTTCGCCTGTGCCCTTCGAAAAGTACTTTGGTTTACTGTGTCTCACTTGTCCTTATGAAATAAACATCACAGAAACTTCCAAGGTGACTAGTTGTTAATAGCTTTTCACTATATCATTACAAGAATGTTAAGAAAATTAGTTAGAAAGTTCAGTTTCTAAAAAGTGTTTTTAGATTCGTCCTAGGTGCCATATAGGTAGCAGTGGGTTTGTCATTCACAGATTTGACCAACTGAGGATCAGATACGCTTAGAGAAATGATTGTATCTCTACTCAGCATATATATGCCTTTCACTTATTAATATTCCCTAAATGATAGTATAGTACCTATTTACTTAGCATTTACATTGTAGTAGGTATTATAAATAAAGTCTATAGGATAATGTGTATAGCTTATATGCACCTGTTACATCATATCATATAAAAGGCTTGAGCATTCAAAGATATTATTTGCCAGGGTTTGGAGTTTACTAAAAACACTGAGGGATGACTGTATATACATGTATATAGTTATTATATATAACTAA